GAACCTCCCTCCCTCCCGCCCCGCTGCAGCCCCAACCGCACCGCCGGGCTGCTGAAACGCCCCAAACCGCCCCGAAAGGCACCTGCCCCGGCGGCCGCACCCCAACAGCCTCAACGCGCCACAAACAAAGAATGATACTTTTATTTTCCACAGATTTTAAAGATACTTTGCTACATAGTTTTATGTATTTTTCTATGAGACTATACATTTTCGTCTTCATGAAGTCCGACGTTTTTACAATTGCAAAGTGATATGTTTGGTAGTGTATCTATAACGTTTTAAAAAGTTTAGAGTTTTTTTTTTTCTTCCTTTTTCTTTTTTTTTTGGAATGTACAGTATATGAGGTAAAATTAAGATTACATTAAAAACTGTCTTCAATGCAGTAATACGCACTGAGGCTCAAATGGCAAATACACTATTAAATGACTATCAAAAATAGGAGTTCATTTGAGTTTTACTATGAAAAACATAAGTCACTGCAGATTAACTGTAGTAACAAATCTTACCATTTTAGACATTCAACCATAAGAAATCTCTGGGCTATTCCCCGCAACCACATTTGTACTGCCAAACATGGCACTTTTAAGAAGGTTCTAGAAAACACCGGTTATCACGGTATTCTGTGGGAAGGTTTATCAGCCTATACATAAAAATGACAAATTTGAAATAAAGTGTAAACATACAGTACATTTTAAAGACAGATCATTCTTGCCACTGGGAGGCCACGTTCTTTCTCCGTTTCTTTTTTAAAACAAAACTCAGCAACATTATTCTACAGCACAGATCATTGGACGTATAAACAGTTACAATACATGCCCGCTCTAAGGTAAGAAATTCTTCAGAGATCTTCAAAGCACAAGACAGAGGTTCCTTTTTTTTTATTATTATTAAGACTGACAGAAGTGTTTAATACCATTAAAAATGCTAAACTCAACACAACTAGGAGTCATTAATGATCCACTATCTCGTAACTCAAATAAATTAAAATCGCTAATTACAACGTGTATAACAACGCAAGTGTGATGAGACAAGAATCTTTTAAAGATAGTTTCACTACAAGCTTTGTGTCACTGGCAGTCATTGACATCTAGCAAGATGTTCAATGGGATGCTTGATAAAATTCAGTCTGGTCATCCCAGAACTCACAAATGCAAGCTCACGAAACATTGATGAGTTATGCAATTGCAAAGTGCTCTAATGCAACATTAACTACATGCAACCAACAATTTGGTACAGTATCCAGAGAGACATTACATTAAACATTAGGATCTCAAGAAAAAGCAGCTTTAAGTTTTTCTGGTGCAAATTACTACACTTTGTCTTCCGATTTGGTGCCCCAAAGGAGGAGGGGGAAAAAAAAAAAGAAAAGAAGGAAAAAAAGGCAGTGCTTGATTCTGGTGGATACAGCAAGTGAACGTTGGGGGTAAGAGCAAAAATTCGATAATGAATTTTGTCTCAGAAAAACCTATAACTAGCCAAACTCAGAGGGCACAGACATCGGTATAAACTGCATCCAATCAAAGGTCAGCTTCAGAAACAAGTTTTTTCATTTAAATAATAAATCTAAAAAGTTCTCTCACACTCTCCCTTCTATATTCATAAGAAGTTAAAGAGGCATTTTTATGAGTAAACATCAAATCCTGGGGGCAAGATAAACCACTTGTGCCATCCCCTTGTAGTCTTTCAAAAAACATCTACTTGCAGTGAAGAACTCCACATTTATCAGGTAAGAAGCTTCTTTCGCACATACTCTTCCATCCAGTTTATTATTTGCTGCCTGAGAAAAGCCCCTTCTATTTTTCATCATAATCCTGCTTCCCAAATAATTAAGACAAATGAGGAGGTAGAAATACAGCGCTAAATTGCTTTCACAGCATCAGATTAATATTGTATACAGCACAAGTTTGTTAGTGTACGTTTTAAATGCATTCTACACATTCTTCCCTGTTATGGTAGCAACCCCTGAAGGTGCGGGCCAGGAAACCGTTTTTACGTTTGTGTTTACTGGTCAAACTCTTTTAATTAAACACTGCTTGCCCCATATAAAGTTTGTACTGCAAGAAGGCATATTAAAGAAAAAATTGTATTTCTGTGGCTTGCATTTTAATAACACGTGTCAGCCTACACCTACCAGTAAGCATTTTAAAGTGGCTGAAAAGGTTTGCGACAGTCCTGATGCCGGTGCTAAATGCCTGTTTTCGTAAAAGCAAGAGAACAGAATTATTTTTCGATTATGAGAAAGTAAAATGTAATGGGCAGCGTTCTAAAATAAACCTGTTTTCTTCACTTTATTACAAAGTACTGAATGATAACAGCAATCAGAATGGAAAAGATAGCAAAAAGTGCAAGGATGACAGCAGCACACACTTGGTCGCTCTGCGACCATTGTGTCCTTGTGGTTTGCACAGTGTCCTTGTTGGTGCTTGCCGGTGGTTCAGTCCTCTGAGAGATGAATAGTACAGGCGCACTGTAGGGGCCGACCAGGTCCTGATGACCTACTGTCTCTTGGCACTGTCTAATGGCACATGCACGAAAACGGTATTCACAGTTCAGCTGGAGGCCTGTGTATCGGAATGACCAGTCAGGACCTTTATAAATCTGTCAGTGAAGAAAAAAAGGATGTATTAAGTAAAAATGCCATATATACAAATGCATGCACGCATCCATCGCTATATCTTTGTTTATGGTGAAAGGTAGTGTGGAAAAGTACAATCAATCAGAAAAACGGCCAAACGGTTCTCTCTAACGCGCGCGCACACACACACACACACACGCACACACACACACACACACACTTTCAATGGATTATAAAAAGTCCCGGGTCTTTTAGTGACGTAGTTAACACTGCTAATTCTTTTATGACACGATGAGTACACAGCAAATAAACTCTCTCAGAAGCCCCTGGGCTAAGGTGTTTTTAGTGACCACTTAAAATGGAACTGCGGGGTTTTAGGTGATTAGCTCAATATCAAACTACTTCATTAACGTCGATCAATCCAACATTTTGCTGTAGTTAAGACATTGTGCATTTTAAAAAGTTCTGTAATTTCTCCCAACAAACATTGCATCAAGAAACCCTCAAGGAGTCCTTTTTGTGATTCTTAATTTCAGCAGCTCCCCAGAGGCAGATAAGAGTACTTTCATCAGGGCGTTCTCCATGGGTCTCCCAATTCGCTGGCTAACAAGAGGACTCTTCTCTCAAGTTCAGTTCACAACTCTTAGCACCAAGTGCCTAATTCAGTGAAAAAAAAGTGCTGGTTTCTCAAATGAATTTGTGGCCATGTTAACTGTGGTCCTTTTAGAGCCAATGAAACCCCATATGGGGACAATTTGCTGTTTGCAGGTTTTTCTGCAGGAACGGAGCTGTCACATGGGCAGCGTGGTACAAAGGTTTGACTTCTCTCCTCAAACACCTCAATTGTTTTTCATTTCGTTATCTGGATTTCTTTTATTTAATTGGCAGTAAGATACAGAACTATCAGGTCATCCAGAAGTTTTTCCTGTAACGTTGGACAATATTTCACAAGTGCAAACTACCAACTGTTCAATCAAAGCAGCAGGAAATCTGTTCTGATTTTGTTCTGCGAAGAGCTATTGCTGTGCCTAGCTGCTAAGGGGCTCGAAAAGTCCTTCTGACAGTCGGGCAGCCGAGCATTACTAGAATCTACAATCTGGAGACTCCTGGAAAAAAGATTTTCTTCATCTTGGAGACCGCTCCCGCACTGAGACATGGGCAGTTCATCGGAAGTGCAGCTTCCTTAAAATTCTGCTAATTTATATCATACATCCTATTCTAGCCACAGCTATGCCAGCCGGCATCAGGTACTAACCTCAGCTGCTTGTCCTCGATGCTTTGCCAGAAGTTAACTCTCCCCATAAATTTGCTTACTGGGGTATTTCTATGATTGCTTCCTAACTGATTTCAGTCAAAAAGAGCTTAGTTGACATAGCTCAAACAGATTAGTAACCTACTTTGTCTGAAGCATATATGGAGTAATGACATGAGCAACTCAGTTGGCAGATCAGGGAGGAGAACAGAGTTCTGTTTTGGCAGGGAAATAGCAGTAAGAAGCTTAGGGTGAATGCCCACGCTCTGCCTTAAGGACACAACTTATGTTTTGTCCACAAAGAAAGTTCTCACCATCAGGTTTAAGTGTCTGTAAGGTTGTTTCCATGGTGTCTACTTCTTGATTACTCCAATTGTAATTTTTGCAAACTGGTCTTCTCATTTTAATTTACTGTGCTAAACTGTTTCAAAGAGGCGTAAGGAATCATGCACTTCACTCACATTTGTTACACCCAGGCTTTAAGTGTAACCTTTATTTTCTTGTCCAGCTCATGGGGCAACGCACATTGCTAATGAAAGTTTGGTCTGAGTCCCTATCTAGAAGCAAGTACACTGACCACACCCTACGTGCATACTTTATGTTGCACTTACAACTTTAAAGTTACAATAAAGAGTATTTACACTGCAAGATAACAAACCTCGGGTTACCATTCATCTTGTACAGAAAAATTTAACAGATGGACATAATATATATAGTGCTACACCAGAAATTATGATTTATGAAAACATTTAAGCTCTATAATCTACCAAAGCAGAGACGACACTTACTTACTATTGGCCTATAATAAAATTATAATATCTCACAATTAATTGTGCTTCCTTTCTGAAAGGAAACCTGCTTGCTTAATAGTCTGAAACAGAGGTTACAAGCCTAATTTCATGTCAATTTTCAGGCAGTTTATAGGGAAGCTAAAT